AGAAGTTTGAGTTCCGTGCTACGAGGTTTTGAAAATTTTTATTTCAGAGGAAAAATAACAAGGAATTTTGAAAAAAATTCATACTTATGCTCCAAGACACATGCTACTTTTTTTTTGTGGAGGGGAGGGGAAGGGAGAGGGACTACGGGAGGGGAGGGCTGTGCAGCAGATTTTTGTAATCATGAAATATCTGTCTTCACCACCACTTACTATTTTGCTGCATTTAATGTTTTTTTAATAAATGCTCAATATATACTTCACATATACCTGTAGATTCAGAGACTCCAGTTGAAAAGGAAAGTGCGGAAGAAACTAATGAAAGCAATGAGAAAAAAGAGGACAAGCCTGCTGATAAGAAAACACAAAAATTGATAGCTGACTTAAAACGCTGCAGAATACAAATGCAAAACACTAGAAAATCCATCGAAAAACCTCCAGTGTAAGTTAAATGGCGACTCATATATTCACTTCCCCAGAAAATAAATAGAAATAAAAATTATTTTTTAAATAAATTTCTACATTTTTAATTTTTTAATTATTTTTAAGTAAATTTCTAAATTAATTTTTAATTTTTTTCCACTAAATTTCTCAACAAGAGGGACAAAAAAAGGAAAAAAAAATAGATGAGACAAATCATCCTCTCTCCCAGGCCCTTTTCCCTTTCTTTTGGCACCCCAAATTGGTGGCCTGGGGATGAGGTTGAGACTCACTAATTTACAGTAAATTGCTAGCTGTGAATATTTTTTTTTCTTTGAATGTGCCCTACACCTCTTGGGGCTGATTTATTTTAATGCCCCCCCCCCCCCCCCCCCCCCCTCCCTAAAAAGAAAACAACCCCTCTGATGTTAGATATGCCTTTGCGGCTAATTCCATGTTTAAATTGTTTTTTTTAGTAAACCGTTCAGTCCAGACATATTCAACAGTCTATCACCATACTACAATATATACACTGTGAATTATTTGTTGAAGGATCTTGAAAACAAGGTAATTTATCCCTGAACTGGACCAGCAGAAACTACTCTAGTCCAATGTATTTATATGTTTTTTGGTGAAAAATGTAAGGGTTGCCTGCTTGACCATATACCCTACAAATATGCAGCTGCCACTTGTCTAACACTGAAATTGAAACACCCAAGCGGCCGATGATCTCTATCTTATATAGCCTGGTATTAAAAGGCTTTTTTTCAGGCTGCTATACATGCTAGATTTGCAGCACTCTAGAGGCACCTGTATTCACAGGCTCAATTCTATTCATTTACATGAACAATCATGTGCTGGTCCTGGGTGATTGGTCTTTCTTAGGCAGGTGAAATTTCATCACTGCCACTTCCCATCACCCCATGATCACAGGTCCCAGCTTATAGGGGCTATTTTCAGAATTTCCAAAAAGGACCACTGCCCTTTGTTTTTCATGCAATTTGTATAGTGAACCATAACATTTTAAGATTTGATTGATTAAAATACCTTAGGCATTGGAGTGTTTTTGGAAGTGTTTCATCTAGATGGACAGCCATCATCAGAGCATGATGTTTGTTATATCATGATTGTAAGCTGCGTGGCTGCTAATTGCGCCTTAAACAGCGGTCCGTGTGAAATGATCTATACATGTGAAGCGCCTTTGAACTCAGAGGATATCGGCGCTATATAAATACCACATATTATTATTATTATATTATATTATATCATTATATTTTTTTCTTCCTAGGATGAGAACCCCATGAGGCAGCCTTGGGGACATAGAGCCACAGCACTGGGAGTTTTGGGTAGGAATTTAGCACTATGTATAGTTTAAAACACGAGAGAGAGTGTTTTATCAGGTATAAAGATTCGAGCCGAAGACGAGAATCTTTATACCTGATAAAACATGATCTTGAGTGTTTTAAATGGCTTCAAAAACCCCAACACTAATTTGAAACTCAAATCCGTCAAAATTCTTGGAGAAATTAATTGACATACAAATATGTTCTGAGATAAATAGGGCAAACTGATCATGCGCGAATCACTTTACAAAGCACTCTTGTCATCCCACATTGAATACGCATAAAATAAAAAAGAAACGCTCTTGACTGTTCACTGCAATCGGTTGACATATCCTGCATTGGTCAATGATCAGGTATCAAACCTGAGACCTTTGCTAGGGTCATGGACCTTTATATCTGATAAAGGTCACCCTTATTAGTATTCTTTATATATATTAGAGAATACTAATAAAAGGAGTGTTTTATCAGATATAAAGGTCCATGCATGTGACCAAATAGGCTCATTCTATTGGCCTAGTAGATCATTAATTATGTATGAGTTTTTGAATAAAAACTAAATATTTGCCATAATAATTTGTGATTTTCAGTGTCACGATTCAAATGCCCCCACCCACCCCACCCCCATCACATTTCAGTAGCTTTTTGCAGTTAGATGAACTATGTGTATTGTTAATAATTATTTAATTGTAACTTAATTTTACAGATCCACAAATTGCTTGGAGAATGGATAAGTATGTGTGATACAATTAAGTACTTGGACGAAAATTTCGAATCATTAGAAAAGACTTGGAAATCAAATAGACCTATCCATATGGGTCTAATGATCATGAAGCAACAGATTTCAACAAGATATTGATACAAATCCTTAATAATTTGGGCAAAAAATGTTGGAGTAGATGACGTCATTTACTCCATCCTTTTGTTCTTCCATCTTTTGAATCAAAATTTATCTGATGTGGGACAATTCCAAAAAAAATATTTTCCCGCAATTGTTTTTAAGTAATATATACAATATGAGCGGGCGATCTGTATGAGGATTTAAAACAGCGAGCTGAAAGCGAGCTGTTTTAAATCTTCATACAGATCGCACGCGAATATTGTATATTACTTATGAAACGTTAAGGTAAATTAGCTCAGGTTTTAAAGAAACTTTTGAAAAAAATTCAATCTGACTGAGAAAATCAGAGTAAAAGTTTATGCAAATGAACAAGAAATCTGTATGTAATATACAACTCTCTTCATGGGCTATAATTTCTATTGTGTTTTGCCTTATGAATATTAATGAGTTTTATAATAGATATCAATGAGTCATATATTTCTATTGCTTGAAGTTTTGAAATAAGGCCATTTTCATGCAAGTAGCACTTTAATATTTGAATAGAAAACAATTTACAATATATATTATAATTTTATTTATAAAACTTATTAATAATGCATAAGCTATTGCTCCAATAAGGGCTGRSCATTTAATCAGGTGATTGACCTTGTAAATCTGATACAACCACTAGTGGTTGTATCAGATTTACAACAYGGTCGTCACCATTGAGACAACCCAACACTAGCAAAGGTCTCAGTTTTAGTGTCGCATCATAGACCTTCATTAGGTTTTGAAGCAATCAAAGACGGATAACAGAACTCGCTTATGCAACAGATGGCTTGCTTTCCATGTGGGATGGATAATTATTCAAAATGTTTTGTGTTGCAGTAAATTGCGCATGCTTAATAGGGACTAAACTCAGCAGTTACCTTATTTGTCATTTTTCGTCATTTATCTCACTGTAATTCATGTTAATTTGTGTTGGAGTTTTATAAGTCATTTACAACATTCGCGTCCGTGTTGTATGGGAATTACAATCTCTCGCCTGCGGCTCGAGATTGTAATTGCCATACAACACGGCCGCTCATGTTGTAAACTATACATATATAGCTATTTCAAAAGAGGTTGTCGGATTAAATGGCGAATGTCAATGGTCAAATGGCGATAATTTGCATGACCGAAAGTAAGCCATGGGTTTATTGCTAGTTGAAAAGCAATAACAACCGATTTGTACTGTAAGATGGTCTGTGGTAAACAGGCTCCATTTATTCTCCATTTCTATGTAAGGTGAATCCAATTAGTGAAATTTTGTTTATCAAAACGGTGTAACCATAGTTCCTTTCGGTCGTGCAGTCTCCCCTCGACAATCGTCGTTCTCCCTGACAACGTTTTTGAAATAGCTGTATACACTGATATACAGTTGTATCAATGTTCTAAGTATGCAATTAATTACAATCTCTCAAAAAATGCAAAAATTGGTGCTTCAAGATGATGATGATAATGATTATTATGATGATTTTAACAATGATTTCCATAAATATTCTTCTTATTGTTGTTATTTTAATATGATAGCTTTCACCAACATTTCTGTCTTCTAAACGTTATGGAGACATTAACTTATTAAAAGAAAATCAATTCAAAGTTTTAAAGAAATGCACTTCGAAATGGGACTGTCTCATTAATGAGATGTTATTTATACGAACAATAAGACCTAACTTAAATACTCAAAGTGACTCCATCAAGGCTAAAGTATTCTTTTAGAACTATTTTTAGAACTTTTTTTATCATTTGTTTTTTCTTTCTTTTNCAAAAGTTAAATGGACCGTCCCTTAGAAAAGCTATTTGAATGTCAGATAGCTTTCTCAAAGCACCAGAAAATCATTTCAATGTGAAAATTAATACCAGTCAAGTGCCATGGAAGTGGCACCCTAGTATAGCTTGACAGAGTACCGTAGTATAGTAACATCGTAGGTAATAACCTTTATGGAGTCACATTCTTGGATAGAGCGTTGCGTACGTTGAGAATAGTGCGACAAGCACTCTGCGCTGTCTGTCATTCTAAGCTACTCTAGTTACTACGTTGAACGAGCTGAGATTGTAAATAGCAAAATATTGAAAAACAAAATAGAAAATAGAATTGTTGTCTATGTATACAGAATATAAAATAAATAAATCGGATTTTGTATGACTGTCCAAAAACACGGCAATTTTGTGTTATGATAGTACCCTTCCGTAGCTGTGATGTGTTTTTGAACCAGAAATTTCATTTGGCGTCACTACCAAGCGAGGTTCCGTGACCATGCCGCGCGTCCCGTGATATCCGTGCTTTTTCACCGGCATAAGAAATCCTCTCTACACTCTCAGCCTTTGCGATCGCATGTTTTTTTAAAGAAAGAATTGTTGTTGATAGCTGCTCTTTAATTAAAACTAAATCAACGACTGCTTATGTGATAAAATCGCGCAATGGTTTGTGGATGCTTGTGTACTTTGAACAAATAGAAAATATTTGCAAATACACATCCCCTATTTGTGCAAATACACTCAAGCTTGGCGTTTTTATGAAACTATAACACTGTAAATATCAACTTACGATAGGATTCTTATTGATTTTTAAGAAATATAAAAAGGCGCGCGTGTCTCTGTCCTCTGATATAAACACGGTGGGAGTTCGAAAAACACGAGAGAAGCAAGCTTAGGAACACGAGCGTAGCGAGTTCGAAAAACACGAGAGAAGCAAGCTTAGGAACACGAGCGTAGTGAGTGTTTCTCTTGCTTCTCGAGTGTTTATATCAGAGGACAGAGACACAAGCGGCCGTTTTATATTTCTTTTATAAACTTTTTCGAGCGAAAAGAAAATGTTGGCGGTTAGCCGTGTCTCTGTCCTCTGTAAGTTATAAACACGGTCGTCAGCCAATCAGAGCGCGCGTTATATATCAAAAATTTTATTATTTCTATAATTAATATATGAGTTTTACTGAATTGATGAATATATGGAACCACAGATTAATGAGTGCAACTAAATATCGTGGGTCGTGGGGTACGAAGACGTGGGTAGTGTGTATAAGTGAGTCTTTATGTCTCCTGTCCTTATGTAAAAACTCAGTAAAAGCTGGTTAACTATTTTGTCGTATCAGTGTTGCAAAAGAATGAAAAACAAGTTCCTCTATATAGCTTACTTAAATAATTATTTCATACAAACACTTTTTAAAAGAAAGTTTATTTTTTGAAGTCTAGCAAAGAGTAGCAAGAGTAGATGTTGGCAAACTACAAGGTAATATAATATATATTCATTTTTCATATCATTATTCCATTTCAAAAGATTATTTTGAGTACTGATGCATTCCCACAATGAACAGAAAGTGCGAATTTCCTTTCACAATATACCTTATCAAGTTGAAAACTTGATGCCGAGGACTGTGAAAAAAAAAGGGAAATACAATTTGAATACAAACGTAGAAAAATCTTCTGGACAGCATAGGTTTGTTTGCGTATTCGCAAGGTCACAAACAAGTCATGTGACACAATTATTTCCTGTGTTGCTTGATGTATGTCACGTGCTTAGATTCCTGATTTGGGTGTCATTTCCGGGATTTCTAAGAAGGTTTCGCAAGATCAGTTCTTCTACGTTCGCTTTTAAGACTTTAAATCCCTGCAAACTTAAGAAAAGCCTGCCTCGATAATACAATCAATTAGTTACAGTTTTATACGCATTTGGGGCAAGTTTTCTCTTAATTTTGGATTCTTCTAGTCGGTACAAGGCTTCATTTTATTGTCTTGACATCATGTGACGTGGCGTGATCTAGTCGAGTCTGCAGTTCGTGGACATGGTAAGTTTGCAGCATTATATGACATGAATTCATTATATGTGTAGCAGCATATTAACAGTGCAGTTAACAATGCTGTTAATACATCGTGAATATTTTGAAGTTCGCTGATTTCAAATTCCGCCCCGTTTCCAATGTTGGTCATTTGGCAAGCTTATTTAATGAAATGTAATTCTAAGTATTTAGTATAATGAATGTCTGTTATTGGTGAATAAACATAAAAAAGACTATTTTACCCATCTACCCCTCCCTCAAACAAAAATTAGCTAGATGCTCTTAGAGTGTTTAGTCGTGCCCCATGAACAATGCTGTCCTTATATTCATCTGATGAATATATATGAAATGTGATGTTTTACTGGAAATAGACTTGCTGTCAGCTGAGGTGTCAGGAGGGTTTAGGGGGCAGTGGGTGGGGACTGGGGAGTGGGGTGGATTCAGTGGATTTAGGGGGGGGCAGGGATGCAAAGRGGACATGACACSCCTTATGTTAAATAATTTGAAAAAAATGTTCTTAAGGGATTGTTGATGTTTTGTCAGGAGGGGGATAGGGCCTGGTGGTTTTGAGGGGGGCACTCAAACAAAAACCATGTTTAAGGGGGAAGGGCATGCAAAAAATTATGCTATATTACTTATATATTCAATACAACATATTTCTTAAACATCAAGAGAGTGGGGGGTCTTGTCAATAAGACATGGTAAAGGGGGGGCAGTCATTTGAAGAAATTGTGTCCAACTGGGGGGCATGTTTTTCATTTTTTTCTAGAAAGTTTCAAAAACCACCAGCTYTCCCTCCCAATGAAAAATGAACGGTCCCTAAAATGCCTCAAAATGGAGGAAATAAGTACCATTTCTCWGAAACTTTATTGCAAAATTTTCTAGGGGAACGAGATTCCCTAGCTAGTTCCACCCACCTATGGAGATCAAAGACTTCACAGCCCTTCCTGGTTGTGCAGGCAGCGTTAACATTAAGACAATTTGTAAGTCCAGTAGTAATATGGTCAATATCAACCTGAGAATAATATTCTTTTTTGGGGCTCTTGATAAGAGAATGATATTTAGGCCTGTAGCTATTATATGGTCTTTCGCAGTGATCTCACAGATTTCAATATAATTGTACTGATCTATGGAATTTTTTTGTGACCAGGGCTCCCGTTGATCAGATGTGCATGCAACTAATGGGAACACCCTGAGCTTTATAACAGGGCCGTAGCCAGAGTGAATGGACAACCGAGGCAAGCGGCCGCCGATGGCGATTGCGGGAAAAACTAGGGGGGTCTGGGGGCATTCTCCCCCTAGAAAATTTGAAATTCAGTCTCTCGGAAATGCAAGTTGCAGCGTTTTGTGGGCCTTTTGGTAACTCTTTATTGAACAGATTTAACCGGAATTCATCATGCAATATTTATGAAACAAAGAAGCTACACGTACAAAAATAACATTATTTTTATATTTTTTGCACAAAATCAGTCGTGCGAAATCGGCTCTGAGAGGCTAAGATAATATTAGTGATGAAGAACAAAAAGCATCGGCAAAATTTTACCGAGGCGAGTGCCTCGGTTGGCCTCTTACTAGCTACGGCCCTGTATAATAGATATTAAATGAAAGGGTTACATAAGTGATTTCATCTAGATTGACTGATACTACTAAAAGGACAATATCAAGATAATGACAGGAGAAAGACAAAACAAGCACTTGAATATTAAAAAAAAAATGAACAGGTACAGTATGAAACTCTGTTGATCCTTGATTAAATGAGAAAAATTTGTAATTTTGATTAGAGGCACAAGTAAATAAAACGTTTARTCAAAAAAGATGATCTCTAAACAATGCACTTATATTCCAATCCACTTTTCTCTTCCAGTGAGCCTTCCTAAAAATGGCTGCAAGTATACCATCATCATCATTATCATCATCAGCATCTACTGTAGTTAAGAATAAGATCAATTACACTCGACTGTGCAGACTTGTTGTCGACATTGGTTCAGGAGTGTTGCGAGGAGTCCTTGATGCCTATCTACATCCACCTGGCGATCTCCAGAAACACCTCAACTCACCCGGTGTTCACAATATACTGAAAACACTAAGAAGTAAAAGAGTTCTGAACACACAACAATGGGAYAAGTTATACCCACCCGCACCAGCGATACCATCGTYATCTACCTTCGACATAACACTGCTCTTCCTTCTCCTCCGGAATACCTGTGGTCTGACTSCACCTACGACAGGATGGAATGCTGCCCCACTACCAGCAGATTTAAGTAAAGAGGCGGACCTGATTCGAGTAAAACTATGTCGAAATGAGATCACTGCTCACAGCGCTGTGATGGAACTCTCTGATGCTGATTTTGAAACCCACTGGGCTGAAATTAAGGCATCATTGATAAGACTTGGCGGATTACAGTATGAACCAGAAATCCAGCGTCTGAAAATCGAGTCAATTGACCCTGAAAGTGAAGACTATTTCAATGTCCTTCTTCGTTCATGGGAAGA